GCACCAGACACCGAAGAGCAGCGAAGGAGAGCCAAGACCGATTGTCGGCATGCGCCAAGGGGACCTTGCTTCGCCGTCCTCGACTCCGTTGCCCTCGTGCTGGGCTTTCCTCCGACCAGTGGCGGACGGCGAGAGAGATCGAGGAAGCACATGCCTCCGGCAAAAGGCAACAGGAAAGCAAATCACAGCAAAACCGAACGTTTCACACTTGAATTTCACATGGCCCAATCTCCCAAAAGGAATGCAATTGCCACCTCGCCTCAACTCGTCTGTCCGGCAACCCCAGCGGGACTCGAGCCCGGACCGCATTGCCACGCCTTTTCGTCCATACCACATTCTCAGGTGGGATGGTCGAAGAGGCAATGTCGTCTTTGCCATGCCAACCGAATAGATCACTTCTTTTGTCCGTGTGCATGTAGGCTTTCGAGACCGCCAACAGATCAGATGCATGAGATGGACAAATGCCATTCGTCGATGGGCCAGACGGGCATGGAAGAAGACACCGAGAGGGATAGATAGGCAAAGGGGCCATGTGGAAAGAGGGTAGGCGCTGGCAGTTGGGACAGCAGGGCTGGGCAGAAGAGAGGCGGTCACTTGGACGGGCTGTTGCAGCCTCTGCCGGCGTCCGAGACGGGGTCATGTCAACGATGAGCTGCTCGACAGTCTCATCACTACTCACGCCCCCGCACGATGCACCACCCGTCGCTGCAACCGAGTCTCGGAAACGAGGTCGAGCCAGCAGCAACAACAACATGCTTCTCCTCATCATCATCATCATCATCATCATCAACAACAACAACAACAAGGCATCACAAAGCTATGCCCACAAGTAGGCCTTTTGGGTCAAGTGTTGGTGAGTGCGGCTTTCCAGCTCGGACGACGCGTGTCACGACAAAGAAGCATGCGCACTCGATATGTTCGAGCCCCAGAAACTGTTGGCTTTGCAGAGACTTCAAAAGTGTTGTCATTGCTGAGCCGAACTTGTTGTCTGAACGAGATCAGTGAATTGGCTCAACGGAAACTGTTGAAGGATATTTGGTCCTCGAGGCCTCGATTCATCGTCCTGTGGCCTCAACGCATGCCTCCGAGTTTTCATTTGTCTTGATGTGACAGACACACTCGCATCGGGCCACGTCACGGAGAGGAAGCTCTGCACAGACTGATCGGTCTCGCAGGCGGTTGAGCCAAAGTGAAATCAAACATGTGGTTCGATTTTTATGTCTGACCTTGACTGTCTAAACGGGTTCCTGTCGTCCTCGGAGGTTCAACAGAGCCAGGCGGCAAATGTGCGGACTGAAGAAGCTCTCTCACGCAGAACGGTTGGTATCGGCGATTTGGCTCGATCGAGGCGGTTTCATCCACCTCCGAGGACCAAACGCCTGGACTCTGACTCATCACGCACCGCCCGAACCATTGAGCGAAACACCGGTCCACGTCATCACTTCGCAGAGGAGGGGGACGGAGTGTCGAGGTCAAAATCAATACGGCTGGGAGTTGTCATGTATAACATTTTGTGGGTGTGCTGGTCGCTTTCGGATTGGTGTCAGGCCATTTGCTCGACTTTGTGTGCGTGGGCGGAGTCTGGCGGATCCAATGGCAGTCTAAGGTCAGACCGGCGAAGTTGTAGTGGGTCGACAACCAGAGCACGAATCAAAACTTCAGGTGCGTGTGTGTGTGTGTATTTAGCTAAGATGTGATGTGTCCACAATACGAAGGTGTTGTTGAAGCAAGGTTTGCTGGAGGAAATGTCGCATTCGGTCTCAAGTTCTGGGTCATGTGGCAGTAGAACATGGGGCAACCAAAAATGTTAACTCGAGGCAGTGATGACAACAAGCTAACAACAACGATAAAGTAGTGAACAAAACTAGATATTGGATGATTTGGTTGTTTCATTTGCATGTGTTTTGGTCGCCCGCATTAAGGTAGGCAGCTCCACAGGTTGGCCCTTTAATGGCCCTCACGATATTCACACATAAACACACATACACACACATAAGTGCTGACAGGAACACACACACGCACACACAAAGAAAGCCCTCATCGCAAAGCTACCTCGGAAGAGTCATAGCAACCGAGTAACACTTTGAAGGTAGGAAGACCAAGATGGTGTTGCTTTTGGTATGATCGCGGTCTCATTTTGGTGTATAAAAGTTGTTTGATATTGGTATTTAGAAAAACTGGTTTTCGAAGAAGCCCTTAATAGATTGGTGTTGGAGTACCTCTCATTTTGTTTGAAGAGACGAGTGGAAGGAATTCGTAAGTTGGTTCCACCGGAGACTGTCTGGGGAGAGGGGGGGTTGCCTTGGGGCCGTGGTTGTAAATTGCTGCGAATAGATTGGGTGCCCTGCGACCCCGATCAATACTTGCTGAGTTTTCGTCCGTCATGTGACGGACATCATCCAAGCAAGACATCAATCTTAACAACAATTTACCAAAAACACAAAGGCAAGAAAGGTGGCCGGATTCAACCCTACTTCCTTCTTATAGACCAATCTGGTACACTTATGCATCTCATATTTTGGTTGGATGTCCAATGCTTTGCCTCTATATTTGCTCATAGGCCAAGTTAAGTGGCTGCGGATGACATGTGAAGTGTCTACAGATGAAGGGTGAAATGGGCGTAATTGAAACCGAACAGCTGCATCCTCCCCTAAAACTGTTTGATATTGTTTTCCCAACTTGGTCGTATACGCTCGGGAGGTCACAAGAGGAAGGCAGCTTGTTCGGAGTCCTCTGACATGGTAACCATGATGATTTCAAGGGTCGGTCGATGACTAGTTGTTGCGTGGTGCCAAGACTGGCGCCCTTCATTGACAATGCCAGCGAAACGTTCGAAAATGTTCCAAGTCCACGGTCCAGCACTGGCAAATGTCATGCATGCTATGCAGTTCGACACAAAGCGATTTCTCCCCAAGGTCGCCTTGCCAATATGATCGAGTTGTGCTCGGTTGATTAAAAAGGCCCTTGGTACATTCACGCAAATAGCAAAATGGTGTGGCCTCTATTTTGCTCGTTGCGTTGCCCTCATTTGGCCTCATTTTGGCAAAAGGTTCGTCTTGTCAAAGAGGTCTGGGCGAACACACGATGTTCAGACTCTTCCGCCAGAGTGGTCACAGCAATTTCCAGTGTCGAACCGTAGACATGGTTCATGGCAAGACGCTGATTTTGTCAGTCGGACTTGCTAATCTCGGCAACAAACTACAATTCGCTGGGGCATCTACCAAGCCCATGGTCCGACGCTGGAGATGATCATTCCGATTAGGAGAAAAGACTCTGCACAAAGTGTGTTGCCGACACGAACAATTTGTGGAAACGAGGTCAAATCACTTCCATACAAAGGGCAGGATGTTTCAATTGGGAGGACAATTGCTGCTAGCGCAATCGCTTTTTACATCTCTAAACAGAAAAGCACATACTTTTGTGTCCGCTTTCATTTCATCTGGCAAGGTGGGCAACGGCCATTCGAAACTAGGCTGCTCCGAACTTGGGTGAATCAAATACTCGCCTCTCTAAGACAATTTTACGCGTAGCTATAGTGCCGTGTTTACGTCCTGAGTAGTATTATTTACATTAAGTTGTCGACGTTTGGTAGTGGTGACTGGCGCGTGTATGTGTGTGTGTCTAACCCCGCACATGTCTGCTACTCGATGAAGTGCTCCGACATTTTAAATTATCAGGAGAAAAAGACCGGAAGATAGGAGACTTGTTAGGGAACCAATGGAATTTACAAATCGATTAATAGTGAGGATACGAAGAGCAACTGGGTTTGATGAATCTCCTGACATGACATCGTTGGGGAGACGTTCATTTTTGTATCAAGTGCATGGAGAAAAGATTCCAAGTTCGATTTCACCAGAAGACGACGCCTGATTCCTGCTGTCTGTACTGCAACCGTTTGGCTGCGAAAACACCTTCAGGTTGACGCAGTCCACGAGACATCCTCCCTCGAATCGGGTGAAAACGGGCTCAGCTTTCCTCCATCACATGATCGACATCATCGGAGCTGGAACTGATTCTTGTAAAATTCTCACGTTAACACATTGTCAAGAAGAAAATGCGACTCTTATGTCTTATATATTATTATATATTATATAAAATATGTACATAATTAAAAAACGAAAATGTATGGGTATAACACATTGAACCCTGACGAGCAAGGGATAACATTTGCCTTCTTTTTATCACTCTCATTCGAAGCCGCTAATGCGAATTGTCGCTAACACACACATACACACGCTCGAGTAAATGTAGCTTGACCAATATGAAAGCCAATTAGCCAGACGATTCTAAATCTATCTATGCTTATTAATTTTTTTTGCTTACTTGAATCTATACAGGAGACAGGATAGTCTTTTTTTATCTCTTGTTAACGTGAGACTCTTACAAGAATGACACCCAGCTCTGATGATGTCCATCACATGATGGACGAAAGCTCAGCCCCCGTCTTCACCCGAAGCGAGGGAGGAGGTCTCGTCGACTGCGTCAACCTGAACGTCGTAGTAACGCCAAATGGCTGCAGTGCGGCGGAATTAAGACGTCGTCTTCTGGTGAGGTAAACCTACGAATATTTTTAAAAGTGGGTTGACCTCGTTTTCTCAACTTGATCTTGTTGCCAGGGCGACTTGGGTGAACGTATCTTGTTCGAGGTCCTCTGCCATAGGAGTTATCATAATTCTCAGCATCAGACAGAAGACTTGGTACATTCTCATACGTTTCCCTGGCATTGTAGTCGTCACTATCAATGTGTCTTGCCACTACAACTTGTCTCTTTGACGACACTGATGCTGGCAATTATGATAACTACCATGGCAGAAGACTTCGAACAAGATGCGTTCACCTAAGTCACCCTGACAACAAGACCAAGTAGCGAAAACGAGGTCAACCATTTCTGTGCCTCGAAAGAAGTCTGCGACCATTCCGAGGAGCACATCATCGTGGTCTTTATAGCTTCGAGTAAACTACGAATCTTTTCTTCATGCGCGTTCATGCGAAATGAAC